CCGCCTCGAATCGAATCATCAGCATCATCATCAGCAGCAGGAGCATCGGCATCATCATCCTAATCATCATCCTCTGCATCGTCAGCATCAGCATCATCAGCAGCAGCAGCATCACCAGCAGCAGCATCAGCATCATCAGCGACATCATCATGCTCCCCCTCCTCCTTCTGCTCCCCCTCCTCAGGGGGCAGGACTGGAAGAGGAGGAGGAGGAGGAGGAGGAGGAGAAGGAGGGAAGGCGGGAGAAGGGAGGGAAGCAGGGTGAAGGATGAAGGAGGGGGGGGAGGGAGCCGAGGGAAGGAAGGGAGGAGAGGGAAGGGGGATGAAATAGAAGGAAGTGGGGAGGGAGGGGGGCAAGGATGGAGAACGGGAGGTGAGGAGGGGGATGAAGACGGGAAGAACGACGGCCGGGCGGGGGGGGGGGGCGAGAGGAAGGGAGAGCGGGAGGACGGCAGGAGAGAGGAGGCTGGGGGAGCCTGCTCCTCCTCCTCCTCCTCCTCCTCCTCCTCCTCCTCCTCCTCCTCTTCCTCTTCCTCCTCCTACTCCTCCTCCTACTCCTACTCCTCCCCCTCTCCTCCTCATCCTACTGCTCTTCCTACTCCTCCTCCTCCCCCTTCTCCTCCTAATCCGCATCCTCCTCTTCCTCCTCCTCCACTTCTTTTCCTTATGAATACCTTATCTCTGTCGCACCCCGAGGCCGTGCGTTTCGCCCGAGACGTCTTCTCCACCTCTGATCCTGAAGCATGAAAACTGGCAACAATTTCACAGATGGACGACGGGTCGCTTCCAAAATGGGACTCTCGCCGTGGCGCCGCGCACACTCAAAACAACATACTCTCGCGGATTGGAAGCGGATCGTTTTCAAAATCTGGCTCTCGCCGCGCACATTTCTTTCAAAGCATTGCGAGGGCTTCAGGGATTCAAGGCGGCTCCTTTTCAACATGTGGCTTTGGATGGAGAGCCGCGCACATTCGTCTCCAGCATGTGCAAGAAGTTCACGGGTTCCCATGGTCAACGTACCAGAAACGATGTTATGGAAGGATTCAGGACTGTCAGGGCGCGACAGGTCGGTTGATTCCCGGTTTTGATGTGCCAGGAACGATGTGCTGGCAAGATTCAGGAAATTCAGGACGCAACAGTCAGGTTAATTCGTGGCGTTGAAGTCCCGAGAGTGGTGTTTTGGCACGCTTCAAGATCTTCAAACGGCTGTCTCCCAACGGGCCACTTCCCTCAATGGGAATGAATCCGCGTATGGGGCCTATGACGAGGGGGCTTGGAGGGAGGGCTTATTCCAACATCGCTTGAGTTTTGGGTTTGCACTGGTCCTCTCCCTTCTCCTGTTCCTCCTCCTCATCCTCCTCCTCCTCCACGTCAGGAGCATGAGAATTCGCACCATCTCACACATCATCATCATCATCATCATCATCATCATCATCATCATCATCATCATCATCATCATCATCATCATCATCATCATCATCATCATCATCATCATCATCATCATCATCATCATCATCATCATCATCATCATCATCATCATCATCATCATCATCATCATCATCATCATCATCATCATCATCATCATCATCATCATCATCATCATCATCATCATCATCATCATCATCATCATCATCATCATCATCATCATCATCATCATCATCATCATCATCATCATCATCATCATCATCATCATCATCATCATCATTATCATGCATCATCATCATTCATCATCATCATCATCATCATCAGCAGCAGTATCATCATCATCATCGTCATCATCATCATCAGCAGCAGCATCAGCATCAGCAACATCATCATCATCATCAGCATCATCATCATCAGAATCATCATGATCATCATCATCACCATCACCATCAACATCAGCATCATCATCATCAGCAGCAGCATCAGCATCAGCATCAACATCATCATCAACATCAATATCCTCATCCTCATCATCATAACCATCATCAGTATCATGATCATCATCATCAGCATCATCGTCACCAGCATCATCATCAGCATCATCATCAACATCATCAGCTTCCGCATCAGCATCAGCATCAGCATCAGCATCAGCATCATCATCATAATCAACCAAAAAACATCATCACCACGACCATCACTACTACCATCATCATCATTATCAGCATCATCATCCTCACAATCATCATCACCATCCAGCATCATCATCATAATCATCGTCACCACCACCGTCACCATCGTCATCATCACAATCAGCATCATAATCATCACCAGCATCAGTGTCGCCATCACCACCACCATCAATATCATCATCATCAGCAGCATCACCATCCCCATCGCCATCATCATCATAAACGTCAACATCATCCACATCAGCATCATCATCATCGTCGTCGCCGTGGTCAGCATCATCAGATCTTCGTCGTCGACTTCAGAAATCAGACCCATAATCATCATCACCGTCATCATCAGCAGCATACCTATACGACCAGCCTTCGGGTGAGAAGGAGTATCGGGAAGGAAAAACAAACTGACGACAACCGCGATGGCTGAGATGATGACGATGCTGGTGGTGCGCCCTCCGGTTGGCAACGACGCGTGGTGACGATGCTGCGTCGCGATGTGACCCCACTATCGACCCCACTCGATCGACCTCACCATCGATCGATCTCACTATCGACCTCACGGCCAATCCCAGTCGACGGATCCAACTATCGATCCCACTATCGATATCACAATGAGTGGCGTTGGGTACGATCGGGACATTATCGGAACACCACTATCGATCTCACTATCGGTCTCACTACCCAGGAGACACAACGGGACACCGACGAAACACCAACGGGACACCCGCGGGATACCGACGGGACACCGACGGGACACAACGGGACACCCTCGGGACTCCAATCGATCTCACTTTAGATCTCACTATCGATCTCACCAAGGAACACCGACGGGACACCAACAGGACACCGACGGGACACCGACGGGACACCGACGGGACACCAACGGGACACCGACGGGACACCGACGGGACACCATCGAGACACCCACGGAACACCCACGGAACACCGACGGGACACCACGAAACACCGACGGGACACCTGCGGAACACCGACGGAACACCACGGCGGGACAACCCGGCCACCGCCCGCCCACCGCGACGGGACAACGACGGGACACCGACGGGACAGCGACGGGACACCGGACACGGCGGGACACCCAGGACACCGCCGGACCACCAGAGCGGGGGGAGGACGGGTCAACGGCTCTGACCCGCACTAGCCATTGCGGGGTCATTCCTCTCGCCCGCCCACGCAGCTTCGCCTCTCCCGCACGTCCGACACGAACCCGAAACCGAAACCGATTTCCCAGTGGCGGGCTCTCCGTTCCACTTCGATCTCACCCCCCAACCTCCGCATCATCACAGTCATAGTTACCATAATCATCATCATCATCATCATCATCATCATCATCATCAGCACCAGCAGCAGCAGCAGAATCATCACCAGAACACTCATCATCATCATCATCATCACCACCACCACCACCATCATCGTCGTCAGCATCATCATCATCATCATCATCATCATCATCATCATCAGCAGCAGCATCACCATCCTCATCATCATCAGCATCATCAGCATCGTCATCATCATCATCATCAACATCAGCATCATCATCATTATCATCGTCCTCACCATCATCATCACCATCATCAGCCTCCTCCTCCTCCTCATCATCATCAGCATCACTGTCATCATCATCAGAATTATCATCGTCGTCGTCGCAGTCGTCGTCGTAGTCAGCATCGTCATGTCCCGATCGTCGACTATATAAATCCGACTAATAATAATCATCAGCATCATCATCATCATCGTCATCATCCTCACCACCACCACTACCAGCATCATCAGCATCATAATCAGCATCATCATCATCATCAGCAGCATCATCACCGTCATCATCATCATCATCATCATCATCATCATCATCATCATCATCATCATCATCATCATCATCATCATCTTCATCAGCATCACCAGCACAATCATCAGCATCAATATCATCATCATCATCATCATCATGATCATCATTATCGTTATCAGTATCATCATCATCAGCATCATCATCATCCTAATCATCATCCTAATCATCGTCATCATCAGTATCAGCATCAACATCTGAATCAAGATCAGCAGCACCATCATCGTTCACTATCATCGTCGTCGTCACCATCATCGTCATCTCTTCGTCGTCATCTTCGTTACTGCTGTCATCATTGTCCTCCCACTTCTCACAGCCTGCCATCATCATCCTCATCATCATCCTCATAATCAGCATCATCATCAACATCATCATCATCATCATCATCAGCAGCATCAGCATCACCACCATCATCATCATCATCATCATCACGATCATCATCATCATCATCATCATCATCAGCACGATCATCATCATCATCATCATCAGCAGCATCATCATCATCATTATCACATCATCATCATCATCATCAGCATCATCATCATCACGATCATCATCATCATCATCATCATCATCATCACGATCATCATCATCATCAGCATCATCATCATCATTATCACATCATCATCATCATCATCATCATCATCATCATCATCATCATCATCATTGCCGTCATCATCGACACCACCTCCACTACCATCATGAACGCTATCCTCATACTGACACTCATGATCATCCTCATCATCATCTTGTTACTTCCTTCCTTCCTTTAATTCATTCGTTCTTTCCTGATTCCATCCGCTCGGTACATACTACGCGCGCAGCGCGCCGACCCGCCAAGAATTCCTCGCCGAGAGCAGAGAAACCCTGCGCAAAAAGTGGCACGCAGACCGTGGCAGGATTTGACAACAAGCCAAGGCCAGCCAGTCCCAGAGAAGACCCTCACCCAGAGCAGGGCACGACCGAGTTCAACCGAGGCGGCAGCGTGCTCGCAACGAGCGATGAGAACGACAGAGCCCGACCAGGGCGTCAACCATGGTCTTCCCAGACTCGCGGCAGGCCACGGTCACTATCGTGTCCATGTTCTCGAGAATCCGGCCATCCCACCCAGGGACCCACGGAGCGAGAGCCGGCCCGTGAAACTCGCAAGCCTTCGCTGTCCTACCCGCCCAGATGTTTCGTGCGCACGCCACGTCTTCCAGCAGCTCGCGGCACGCGGTCGGAAGAAGAGCGCACATCTCATCGCGCTGTTGCAGCAGTTCCCGGAGGCCGACACTTCAGGGGAAACGTCGGGATCGACAAAACGAGGCCTGGGGAGCAGTCGAGCAGCGCGCTGTGCGCACTCGCCCACACCAACGCCCTCGCGGTCCCGACTCCTCGGCCGCGACCCCGCAGATACAGAGCGGCTCTGCGTGCATGCCCCGCGCGGCACGTATCCACTGGATCGCGTATCTACAACACTGCGCCTCGAGCTCCGAAGAGCCAGGGCATGCTCATGGATCGGTTCGGCGCTATCCGCTCGAAATCGGTCCC